CAATGGTTATGCATTAACTTTGCAATTTCTAGTATTGTATTAGTTTTTAATATTTCTCATGGGCATTTAATAATTTTTGACTTTCAGTCTGAGTTAAATCTCTTTTTTTGGCTCATTTTATCTGTAAAAGAAAATCTGCTTAATAATTATGCACACCTGAATATAAGACATTTTTCACTTCCAGCCTTCATGAATAATTATATATCATGATTAAATGATTAAATACAAGATTAATAGTATTATTAATATTGTTGTCGTTTGGAATTAGTAAAATGTGCTTGGAAAATCAGAATATCAGAATATCTACTTGCATAATAATTATGCATGCACTGTGTTTTTCCTCTTCTGCTGTCCAGGAATGTTGTTATTAGTTGTCAAGGCAGCCAATCAGAATTTAGCAGCCTTGTCTCTGATTGGCTGGAATTATGGCATATTGTAACGCTGGGTTGTGTTGAGCAAGGGAGCCGTTGGCATTTAGAGAGCACTGAGGGCAGGCATCAGGTGAGCAAGCTAGTGAAACGTTGCATGCACAAATGGGATTAGGCAATCAGGTAGCGACTTCAACGAGGGGGTGCATAATCTGGCAGGGGTGCAGAATTCGGCACAACACCGGCATCAGGTGAGCAAGCTAGTGAAACATTGCACGTGCAAAAGAGGTCTGCACAAATCCAAAAACTTAAATTAAATGCAAAATTGATTTTGTGCGCTCTAAATACTTTCTTCTTTGCGAGACAAACATTTTCTCCACAAAACTCAGATCACCCGCGTGCAAAACGCACTTTTGCGCGCTCAAAATATGATCTTTTGCGCGCAGAATTGTGGCAGAGATGTAATCCCATAAAAGCCTTGCACCACCACGAGGGGGCCCGATGCAGTAACACAGGAGCATCAGCAGTCCAAAAGAGCTTCACAGGACAGGCGGGAGTGCGCAGAGTCGCGAACGCGCACTCACTCACCCACAGAGACAGACTGCGATTGGAAGCGCGAGGCGGTCAGATCGTGTGTTGTGTGTTGCTGCCGCGCAGTATCTTTTCACGCAAGTACCGAGGACTGCAAGGGAAAAGTTTATTTCAAAGACTCTCCAACTAACGGGCAGGGCCGCTCCCAGATCCCCCTGAACGCCAGGTCAGTATGAGCAGGTTCTGCGTTCATTCCTATGCTTCAAATGCGCATTGTTGCAGATATAAAGAGTTGCATTGTTGGGACCGTTGGGGCTGATTGTTGCACAGCGGTTTGCTAACGTTACCCTGCGGCCAACCACGAAAGCCGCTTTGGGGATCCGTGGTCGGGGGAACCTGCTATCGTGCTGCGGCAAAATGCGCCCATCGGGTTTTTAAATTACAGCCATGTGTTTCAACACGCAGTTCCCTCGCATTGAGACCCAAGCTAATTTTTATCTAGTTATGATGTGATTTAGATGGTTTAGGCTTAGACTTGTGTTTATAATATGTGCTTTGTTTTGATTAAACGTTGACTTGGCTTGTGAGTAATAAGCTGTCATCAGTCAAAACGGCGCAAACGCTTCATCAAAGTTATTATGGGTAGAGAATTAGTATCTGCATTTGGCATGTTGTTTATTTTTCCCTTCGAAAACAATTTGTAGGCATTATTGTGATGACACATCATTAGTTTCAGCGAGCTGCAATTAAGCACAGTAAACATTTCTTGGCTAGAACTGTTGGTTTGTACTTGTGTTGGTTTGTACTTGTGTTGTGTTGTACTTGTGAAAGTTTATGGGCCGAACCGACCCTTCCCCCTTTCTTCTCCCGGCCTCGCTATCTCCTTCGTCCGGGGAGGGACTGCACTGGCGACCGTGATGAGTGAGCAGTACCGCCGCTACCCAAACAAAGGCGGGTTACCAGGGGAAACGGGGCTCTCTAGTTCTGGACTGGGTCGCTGGGGGGAATAGTGTCGGCTCATCTGCATGAGTCTTGAGTGAACCGCTGGAACAAAGACAGATACTATTTGACGTGTACTTCGTATCCCACATGCAAGGTCACTTTGTGTTCACGGCTGCTAAGTGGTTCAGTAGATTAGACAAACAAACCCGTTTTGTGCTGGCTGGCTTTGTTCACCCTTGGTGTTTGTTTGTCGAAAGGAGAAAACAGTTTAATCAGAAAGGGAGCCAGTCAGAAAGATGAATGACAAAGGACCATTTCTGAGCATCAAGCCATTACAAGGCACATACAAGACACTTTTTAAGCAACAGCTGTTCAAAATGCATGTGTTGTTGTTGTTGTTGTGGTGGTGTGAGACCTGTCAGACTTGTTGGATAAACTATAGCTTAACATAAAATGATCATGAACTAGCATGAAAAGTGGCTAATTTTTAAACAACAAATATTTGAACCCCCTTAAAGGGGTCATATGATGCTATTAAAATTTTTCCTTTCTCTTTGGAGTGATACAAGCTCTTGGTGCATAAAGAAGATCTGTAAAGTTGCAAAGACTAAAGTCTCAAATCCAACGAGATACTCTTTATAAAAGTTAAGAGTCAACCACGCCTACCTAAAATAGCTCATTCTAACACGCCCCCACATGTCTACGTCAAGATGTGGGAAGATTTGCATAACACCGCCCAAATGTTCACGCAAAGAAAGAAGGCGTAACTTTTATTCTCGCTGTAGTATTGTTGCTGCCGCCATGTCGTGAAGGCACTGTGTTTCGTTGTGAAACTACTTAGTTTGGCCTTCCAAAAGAGGATGATATCTGCTTTGTCATGCCTAGAGCTGATCTGTGCGGTTCGCTGAGGAAATACATCAACTTCGCGCTGTGGATTGCCGGATCGACTTTCACTGTGGACGAAGCGGAGTCCAGCCCTGGGTCGTCACATGTGGTTGCCGCAAGCCCGCCGGACGCTCCTTCGTCGAATCCGCCGGCCATTCCTCACTCTAGCCCGCAGGCCTCCGCTCACTCTAGGCCTCCGTGTGTGACGCTGTGTTTCGCCGTGAAAGCGAAACTACTTTGTTTGGCCTTCCAAAAGAGGACACGACTACAAATCAGTGGTTAAGTTGTATTTACAACACTGTTCCACTATTCGCAAACTGCGATCGCACGTGGAGATAATAAATTCATTTCCATAGAGTTGTATTTACTTAGATGTTTATTAGTGAAATAATGGTTATATAGTAAATGTTAATACAATTTAGGGTGTTTTAAACAAGTGAATCTTGTTAAAAGTTACATGCGGTGGCCGTGTTGGAGCATTTCCTTAGCATCAACCACATCACATATGAAAGCGGCTTCACGAGACTAATGATGAGCAAATATACACCAGAGAGAGAATTAAATTCAGCACTTTTATTTCCAACACGCGCTCATTCATGGCTGTATTATTTAACTCATGCAAAGTTACGTCTTTATTGGGAGAGGATCTTGACGGATTATCTACGTGACTCCGACTTCATGAGACTAACGATGAGCATAGACAACAGAGAGAGAATTCAATTCAGCACGCGGCGCAATGCAATGCGTAAAAAGACAGTATAAGTCATTATAATGTCCCCACTGGATGCAACAAATGCTTTATAATTTTAAAAGTTTATAATTGGTTTTAATGTTTTTGTCTTGTCGCTCTTGCTGGGACAAGTGGGATTCAAAATGTTTTCTGTCTAGACCAGATGTCCATATATAAACACAGTTGAAAATCTCAGGGTTAATTTACCAGGTTCCCGAATTTAGACAGACAGGTAGTTGTGTTTTGTGAACCTCTCATCATGATGTTTGCCTTTCTAGTAAATTTACAACTTGCTGATTTGAAAGTAGGTCATGTTGGCTTTTAGTGCTGCTAAATGTTATGTAATATTCAAGACCACTGTGTAACAGTGCTTAATTTGATCATGTCCAGACTCCAGTGTGTAAATGTCACACTACAAGCTTCTTTTAGGGAAAGTGAGATTTAATTCAACAGATTTGATCAGGTTCAAGCTATATGTTTATGATTTAAAATGTGCTTTATCCCCATTTATCTTCTCTATTTTGCAAATCAAATTAATCTATGCTTTTATGGTATTTGATTCTAGTCTAATATTTGATTCCTTTTTCTTCAAGCTTTAGTATTGAAACCTGAAGTTGGGGGAAAAAAATTAGTAATAGGGTTAAATTCAAAGAGAACTGCCATCAAATGTTAATTTTCTATAGTACTGATATTTGAAATAGCTACAGTGCTGCATTTAATGTGTCTTTTAACTGTTTAGCATTATTATTTGCATTTGTAATGGGTGCTAATGTGGTGGTCTTGATGGTAAGTCTCTTTGACGCTCTGGGTTTCACTGTGAGTTGCTTGACAGTGAAACACCATAGACACTTTCTCCCGGTATATATTGATACACTATGAGATTCAGTCAAACTAAGTGGAAATGACAAGTACCTCATGCAAAATGATATGGGATTTCTGTTGGAGTGACAGTCTCACTTATCTTGCAGAAAAGTTGGTAGTAATTTCTTTACACGCTGACCACAGTGACACTGCACTCACACCCAGAGGAGACCTTCCATCTGCTTCTTGTTTATAGAAGCTCCACTTTGGTTCGCAGTCAAGTCCCCAAATGGGAGCCACATGGTAGATTTGAAATCCTTGTGTGCTAGTTTTTCGATTGAATTAGTCTGTTTGCTCACTTTAATGAATAAGTGCTTTACTCTTTAAAAAGTGTTGATAAGAGTTGCCTCAAGCTGTCTGGTGAAAAACTGCCTTCAGAGTTTTCTCCTGTGATCCTCCTCGGTGTGTAAATAATAATGTTTCTTTTTCCAGTGTAATTGTTTCCCTTATTCATCAGAAATCATTGAAGGCCGTTATTCCTCCGACTTCCTTTGTGATAACAGTGCAACCCAAGCTTTCAAATGTGAATGACTCCTGTGGATCCTGTGTGCAAATGTTATTGGCAGAGGGAGAAGGTAGACCATGTTTAGCTTAGGGTATGGTTTGTGGTGTCTAGAGAGAAAGGGGGTATTTTAGTAGGCAGATAGACCGGCTTATTGTAAACTTTGGTATTAGGGTGGTGGGTTACTATTGCCACAAAAATATCAAGCAGCACCCTTTTTAGTAAAGATAATAATAAGAAATGTTTCTTGAATGCCAAATCAGCATATTAGAATGATTTCTGTAGGATTGTGTGACACCGAAGACTGGAGTAATAAATATTTGTCAATATTAATGTTTTTAATGTATCTTGAATCAACTAGGCCTAAATGCAGCCTTGGTAAGAGACTTTTTCATAAAAAAAAAAACTTACCAACCCCAAACGTTTGAACTGTATCAGCAGAGACTTATGCTGGGTTCAGACTACACAATATTTTTGTCGGTCACGATAGCAACCGTGTCAGATTACACGATTTTACCTAAAATCCTGTCATGTCGTGGACAAGAAACATGCCAGACTACATGTTGCTTCCCGACCATTCATCACGTGCCGTCTTTAACGACGCGCGTGATGTCATCGAGAAGGCGGAACTAGCGACTGACTTCCGAAGACAAGAGTGTAAACATTGCTGAAGCGCTTTCGCTATAGTTCGCCAGCATTTTTCTTTCTTTGTTCTGTCGTGGTAGTCCCTCGATGACACATCATACAGGCAGGAGTACTGTTGCCACAGCTCCACGAACCTTTCCTCCATCTCATAATTCCACCTAGCAGCACCATCATCTCTTTCGTTTTGCCATGTTTGAAACCTGTGTATGAAAGAGCTTCTGTGCTGCTATTGGTCAACGTCACCAATGTGACAGAACTCATCGTGGACGATGGGAAAAAAATTAAACATTCTAGTGTTTCTGTCGTGAAGCATCACAGACGGGGAATCGGTTGTCGTCCACTATGACACACTACATGAGCTGAAACGATGGAATCTTGCATCCCGACGCCCATTGTCGTTTACGAATCCCCACGACACCCTACGTCAAGCTATGTGGCAAAATCGGGCTAAAATCGTGTAGTCTGAACCGGGCATTATTTGTTAAGAAAACCAGTTGTTTTTTGTTTCTGTTGTGGTTTATTAATAGCTGTTTTACAGAACCTCTCTCTCTGTCTCTTACAGAATAACTTCGGTTCAATAGTTTAGTACTGAATGTTCTGAGTTCACTTTGGCATGTTTCCCTTACGGTATCATTTCACAATAAGTGACCATTCACACAGGAGATATTTGCACTTAAAACATTTGACGCAGGGCAGCAGAATAAAAAAAACTGCAAAGTCTAGAGACGCATTTTGAAAAAGATCTCTTAACTTGAATGCTGTGTTTTTTAGAGCGACTTCAAGTCGCTGCAAAATACGCAAGGTGCGAGTGCAACAGTCAAAGATATCTGTCTAGCGCAAGTAGTGGAAAAACAGTGCAGTGGAATGCAAAAACTGTGTGAATGGCTCAAAGTAACCTGCAATCCACGGTGTGTTAACCAGCTCCACTTTACCAGTCATGCTTTTCGGCAGTCTTTTGTTTTTTGTGTGTGGTATTTAGTGTTTATTTTAATCAGATTCCCTTCTAGATCTTGTAGTTTGTTCCCCCGTATAGTGCCTGTGGTAGGGCTTGATGAAGTATGTATGAAATGAAAAGATGGGAGAGTTTTTAAGTTGCTGCCAAGGCTGGCACGAGTCTTTATTGCAGAATGTGAAGACAGAGGGAGAGTAGATTGCCTTCAGCTCCATACTGGTTAAATCAATGCTGGGTTAACTGTCTTGTCTAGTAAAGAGATGTGTGGTTGCTGACGAGCTCGAATGGAGAGAAACGTCTTTGTTTTAAGCAACAGGCTGCAGTTTCATCATGTGTCTTTCTCATTAAGGATGGGGACACTAGTGTTTTAGTAATGTGTTGAATGGTTTATTCTTATAATGACGAAGACCCTTAGACTGGCTCAGTGTTGATGTATCATTATTTTATATGTAAGTTTGATAGCTTGTTAAAGAATTTGCAACAGATAGAGGGAAAAAAGTTGACCTCTTTGAAGTTCATAAATTCTAAGCTTGGTCAAGAATGAAAATGAAGCGCAAGCTTATTGATGAAAGCCAGCTGTGTCCTGCTGCACATGATCAGGAAGATAGTAGCTAATATTTTTAGAAAAGATGAGCAAAACAATATAAAACAAACTGCATTGCTAGTAGTGAATTGTTTGAATGTGGCTTTGTGCCTGACTCAACAGTGCAAGGTTTTCTCAGTGGAGGGATCAGTGCAGTCTGTGTCTGGTTACAGTATTCAGTTTCATTCAGTCTTAGTAACCTCTGTCAGTTCCTCTCCTCCATTGCTATTTTGAGAGGTGCCTTATGTCACATCAAATCCACATCTAAAATTTGACAGCACCGCATGGCTTCCCACTCACTGAGCAGGTTGTATAATATTTGTTGTTATATATTTGTTGCTATTTCGAAATGTTCTGTAAACCCTTCAGCTTCATTGACTTACCGTTTAAGGACAGACTAGGTCTATGTGGATTAACTAGCTATAAGTAGGGAGGGTGTCATAGCTTAACTAAGAGTGTGTGCTTTAAAATGTTAGTCTCCCGTAACCAAACTTCACTATTGGCAAAAAGTCTGATAATTGTTTTCATGTTTTGTCAATGTTTAAAATGTTTTACTATTTTAGCTAAATAAATTAAAAAGTAAAACACTAAAGTTAAATCTCTATCAATCTTTTGAAATACACTACCGTTCAAAGTTTGGGGTTTTGATTATTTTTGCACTCAAGACCAACCCCAAACTGTGATCGGTAGTTCAAGTATCTTAGAAGTTTCTTATGCACATCTAGGCTGCATTTATTTGATCTAAAATACTAAATAACAGTCATATTGTGAAATAGGCTATTGTTACAATTTAAAATAACCGTTTTCTATTTTAATATACTGTAAAGTGTAATTTATTCCTGTGATGGCAAAACATGATTTTTCAGCATCATTACCCCAGTCTTTGGTGTCACACAATCCTTCAGAAATAATTATAATATGCTGATTTGGTGTTCAAGAAATATTTATTATTATTATCACTGTTGAAAACAGTTGTGCTGCTAATATTCGTGGAAACTGTGATGCATTTTTTCAAGGATTCCTTGAGTAGAACAAAATAACAGCATTCATTTGAAATTGATTTTTTTTTCTTTAAAATACTTCATTGGTACAACCCTCCCTTCTCTCCAAGAACTGTACTTATTCAGAGTGAGCAAAAGGGCTGGCAGAATCACTCTGGACCCCTCACATCCAGCACACTCCCTCTTTGAACTGTTGCCATCTGGTCGACGCTACAGAGCACTGAGCACCAGAACGACCAGACACAGGAACAGTTTCTTCCCTCAGGCCATCCATCTCATGAACACTTGACAATAACCGTGGAACACACACTATTTATTCACTCATACACTTATTTATCTAACACTCATACTCAGCCTACACCTCAAATTTGCACATAATATACAGTACCTGTACATAAAAAAAAACTTTTAAATGGTATGTTTCAAAGACCTTTGCACCCCATCTATCAGAAGTAGCGTGAAAATCCAGCCAATCTGATTACTGCTGACCAGATCTTAAAGTGGTTACCGTTTTTGTGCATAGTATGCATCAGAACGTCAGAGTGGGCTGAAAGAACAAAAGGGAAATGAGTTTCTTCCCTCAGGCCATCCATCTCATGAACACTTGACAATAACCGTGGAACACACACTATTTATTCACTCATACACTTATTTATCTAACACTCATACTCAGCCTACACCTCAAATTTGCACATAATATACAGTACCTGTACATAAAAAAAAAACTGTCTATTGCAATATACCTGCACACACAATTGTCAATTTATATATTTTTATTCCTTATTTACTTGTTCTATTTTAGTTTTTATTATCTGTGTTTTTTGTTCTGTCACTGTCATTCTGTTGCACTGTGGAAGCTTCTGTCACGAAAACAAATTCCTCGTATGTGTAAACATACCTGGCAATAAAGCTCATTCTGATTCTGATTCTGATTGTCACACTTGATCAATTTAATGTGACACCCTAACATTTTTAACAATAGTGTTTAATGTAGACTAAACTTTTAAATGGTATGTTTCAAAGACCTTTGCACCCCATCTATCAGAAGTAGCGTGAAAATCCAGCCAATCTGATTACTGCTGACCAGATCTTAAAGTGGTTACCGTTTTTGTGCATAGTATGCATCAGAACGTCAGAGTGGGCTGAAAGAACAAAAGGGAAATAAAAAGAAGAGTGAATTCAACCACTCTTTATGTCTGGCTTAAGGCTGTCACAATCCCATCATCTTTAAGCACCATATGTGAACATGACAGTGTATATTTAACCTAAGAATGTTTGAGGGGGATTGTGTACATGTGAGAGAGGGATATAGGGCCAAACAGAGGCATGCTGACAGTAGAAAGGCATCTGCAGGCAATAATTTGGAAAATATCACTCAGTTCACTCAATGATCTGTGCGTGTGAGTGAGCATGGTTGTGCTTCTTGAGACCTGTCATTGTAATTTGATCATTGGATTACTGATATGTTGGTTGCCATGGCGTCCTCACGCATGATTGGGTTACTATGCGGCTGCCCTCGATGCTGGAAAGTACAGTAGCACTTTTATTTTTAAGTGTGTATGTGTGATTGTATTCATTTCCATCAGATCCAATCTGTCATGGTTGGTATTGATTAATAGCATCACAGTTTTCAAAACGCATCTCTTTTCAAAGTATGTGCTAACAATCGCGTTCTCTTTTTTTTGCAGTTGTGCAGACACAGCAAGAGATGTAGATCCACTTACAGACTGTCTTCTGACTAACGCACGGACAGATTGCACCATGACGGAACGGGATGGCCGCTGTGATTTTTCCATTGCCCCGGGGCAGGTATATATCGAGGTGGAGTACGATTATGAGTACAAGGCGAAAGATAGACTCATCTCCATACGGCAGGGCGAATGCTACATGTTGGTTCGCAAAACCAATGAGGACTGGTGGCAAGTTCGTCGGGAGGAGGGCACCAAGGCGTTTTACGTCCCCGCTCAGTACGTCCGAGAGGTGCGGCGCGCCCTTATGCCACCACCCAAACCTCGTGCAAAGCCCCCCAACGTTCTTGAAATCGGCCAGTGCCGATCGTCGAACGAAAATCTCAACCAACGCGCTCCTACGGAAAGGTCCAGCTTCGGCAGGCCATCTCCCTCGACAACGCCTTCCCCATTACCAGGTCAACAGACCTCGCCTTTATTGTTGCGGGACACCAATCAGAACTCGGGGATGAAGAGCGTTGTTGCCGAGCTCACTCTGCTTAACAACAACAACCATCATAACTATCACCATGGCAACCCCACACTTCCAGAAGGACGAGCGGAATCCCCTCCACGAGAGCATGGTTGCCAGGGGAAACTCCCAGGCGGGTTGTCGGTGGACACGGACGGAAGCGTGTCACCAGCAGATGGGTTGGAGAAAATGAGAAATGACTCAGAATCTGGAGATGAGCTCAGCAGCAGCTCTACCGAACACATACAGGTAAGAATGAGTGATGTTCGCCCTCCTCCTCCTTCCTCTCCCACGCTGTCGTTCTCTCTCACTCTCCCTCCCAAATGTACTCATGTTCTCCTTTTATCTCTTTCAGTGTCATCTTCAGCTTTCATTCTCTTCATTTCCAGCACTTATCTTTGCCAGATATGCTCTCATCTCCTTTTCATCCTTTGACTGTCATTATCTATTTCTGTAACACACTGTTCTGACAATTACTACGAGACTAATCGAACATATCCTCCTCACACCTTTCCCTTTATTCCTCGGGTTTGCCTCTGACATTTGCAGTGGCACGTCCTCTTTTCTGTCAGGTTAAATTGGATTCATCAGTGTCTTCCTCTCCTCTCGCATCCATTTCTTTCTGCTGCATAACACTTGTTCAGCAGGAGATGTAGTTTGTCCTCTGCTATGGAGGTGGAAATTGTGGCCACTTCACAGGGTTTGATTTAGACAATAAGAGACTTCGTTGAACTCACAAAATTAGCTTGTTGTGCTTTTATAAAGTAATTTCTGAATTTTAAAAAAAGCTGCTTGCATGTACAATTTCTTTGCATTGTGCATTTTTTACATTTTTATTTTATATTATTTATATATCGTAAAATATATTATTTTTGTAAAAAATATATTATTTTATTTGAATGAATTATATTGTTATATAATTGTATTTATTAAATTATATTATTGTTTAATATTATTGTTAAAACTAATTTCATATATATATATAGAGGACAGTTAATAATTGTAATTGCATTTATTTAGATAAAACTTTATATTTGTATTTATTAATTGTTTTATATTAAGTTAATAAATATTGTGTTATGTTTAATTCTATATAAATATTTAAATATAAATTGTAATATTAATAGTTTAGTTGCCCTCTCTGATTCGCTGTTCTAGTAAATAAAAAAAAAAAAGAAATTAAAGCTACATTTTTTTGAGCAATGTTCATATTAAACCGAGTTATTTTGAGCAAAGTGAATATGTGCGTTATGTTCAATCAACCACTGTCAGTTTTGGCTGACCACAGTAGTTTTGGAGTGATTGAGCTTGCTTTTTAAGTGTCCCAGAGTGCATCTTGTGGAATTGGGTGGTTAGTCTTTGTTACTACCCTCCTCCCCCATTTCTCTCTCTTATCTTTCTCTCTTAAAAGAGGGTGCTGCTGGGGAACAAAGGGGATTGTGGGAGAATAGAAAGTAGGTCGTATCTGGCTAGATCATGTTGTTGTCCCCATTTTGTGTTTGTATATGTGTGAAAGAGATGGAAAGATGCACATTGAGAAGTTTGGGTCCAATGGCCTTTCCTCCATTGACAGTAAATGAGGCCTGAGCATTCCTGTCATTCCTGTCCCAGCGCACACACACACAGGGTTCAGTTGGATAACCCAATAAAGACCCACCGATCCTGATGGGCGGAAAACAGCACAGCTCACTCTAATCTAATATTTACTCAAGTATCAAAGATCTCTCGCTCTCTCTCTTGTTGATCCTGTCTGCCTGTCTCTCCCCCCCCAAATAAGGACTTTAGGTTGAAAGATGGCAGTGTACATCAAATCGATGTGTGTTTGGGGTGGTGTGTGTGTTGGTACCCTCACGCTGTCAGAGCATCTCTGTCTCTCTGCTGTCGATGAGCACAGCTGACATATTGTTGGGTCAGAATGTGTCCTGAGGGTAACGTAAGTTTAGCTTCACACACACACATCTGCGAGACTTCTGTTGTTTTTTATATGAAGATAATTATAATTTCCTAACCCTAAACCTACAAGAAAACTTTTAATAATTATTGAATGAATCAAGTTTTCCCTCGAGGGTGTGATCAAATGTTCCAAAAGAGAAGTTTAATGAGATTTATATCACTTTCGGTGACAATTTTGTACCCAGACTGTAGCCAATATGTACAGATATACACCCATAGAGGAGTTTTTTTTATGTTTTTGAAAAAAGTCTCTTATGCTCACCAAGGCCGCATTTATTTGATCAAAAATACAGTTAAAACAGTAATATTGTGAAATATTATTATAAGTATTACAGAAGCCATTACATTAGAAATATTTCTAATATGCTGATATGTCACTCAAGAAACCTCTCTTAATATTGCCAGTGTTGAAAACAGTTGTGCTGCTTAATATTTTTGTGGAAAACGTGATAGTTTCTTTTTTTTTTTGGAATCTGAATTATGTGATGCATAGAAAGTTTAAAAGAACAGCATTTGTTTGAAATCAATTATAAATTATTGATACTTTGATCACTTTAATGTGTTAAATTAAAGTATACATTTCTCAAATAAGAAGAAGAAAAAAAAAGTACCCTAATGTTTAAATGGTATGTTCTCTGAAATAAAAATGTGTTATTTCGGATTTTAAACAAACTTTGTGTAAAATGTCTTATTTAATTGGAATGACAATTAGATTTAAGGGAACACTCCACTATTTTTGAAAATAGGCTCATTTTCCAACTCCCCTAGAGTTTAGTTTTACTGTTTTCGAATCCATTCAGCCGATCTCCGGGTCTGGTGGTAGCACTTTTAGCTGTAGCTTAGCATAGATCATTGAATCTGATTAGACCGTTAGCATCTCGCTCAAAAATGACCAAAGAGTGCCGATATTTTTCCTATTTAAAACTTGACTCTTCTGTAGTTACATCGTGTACTAAGACCGACGGAAAATGAAAAGTTGCGATTTTCTAGGCCGATATAGCTAGGAACTATACTCTCATTCCGGTGTAATAATCAAGGAACTTTACTGCTGGTCCATGGGTGCAGCAGGCCGAATGATATTATGCAGCGCCTGAAAATAGTCCCCAGCTAGGAAACATAAGGAGATGCTAACGGTCTAATCAGATTCAATGATCTATGCTAAGCTACAGCTAAAAGTGCTACCGCCAGACCCGGAGATCAGCTAAATAAATTGTAAAACTCAACTGTTTAACTCTAGGGGAGTTGAGCCTATTTTCAAAAATAGTGGAGTGTTCCTTTAAGTCAAAAAAATAGACATAAAACATTGTGGTTAATTATTACTTTTAGTTTATTTGTCACACTGGGAATGGAAAGTCAGGTGGCACACATCCAGGTACCAATAAATGTGTATCACTCTGTATTACTATCCAAAATGTTTTTTTTTTTGTATGTAAAAAAGGCTGCTGTTATGTCAGGCTCTGAGTTTTCCATCAGCATCACCTTCTTTTCTTCTCTCTTATTAATTTTCTCCCTGTTTAACACCATTCTGGTGTTGAAACCAATTCAGACCAGCTGCAATACATCCAGGGACATTTAGCTGTGGGAAAGGCTAAAGGCAAATAGAAGAGAGAGACAAAACAACAATGTGCCACTGACTGAACTGAGGTAACCCGTCCCTCACGGGGGTTTATGACCTTTTGATGATGTTGGCCATTATAACAGCAGTGCATGAGTGCTTTTGTCACAGGGAATGTTCTGCACCTCGGTTTGCTGAGCTGAGGTGCATCAGTGGCAATAGAGAACCAGTAATGTAGAATGATCAAGAGTGATCTGCTTACTCAAAAACAATTAACCCGCCCTCAAATCAAGTGTTTTACGAATGCAAACATGCTGTGCAGTCAGCAAGCTTACTCATGGATTTTTACTTCCTATGGGAATTCCCTACCATTAATATTACTTGTGCTTGACGTAGTCTAAATATATCAGTAACATCTCTGTGTGTGTGGAAAGATGAGATGAATTACAAGGCCACAAGCCCCTGCTGTCCTCGCCTGTGATTGGCTGATGGTCCTCCTCCTCTCTGTTTCTCCTCATAAGTTCATTAATGAAGTGGATATCACTGTGGAGATTGATGTCTCAGTGCTGTGTGTTTCATGCTGCGTCTGAAAGGTCATAATATGTTTGATGTCTCTCTCCAGCATGGATGATTGACACCTGGTTAATGCCTTCAAAAGCCGAAAATTGTTGTTTGTTGATGCTCATGACAAACTTTTGCAAAGGAATAGTCAGGTGAAGAACATGTCCGGGTCACGTTTCACTCCAAATCAAAAGAAAGCTGTAAGAAATATTTTTTACTTAGAGAAAATGAAACTTGTTATAGTTTTTTTGTATTAATACAATGCAACATGTTTCTGTCATTACTGTTAGGCTAAACAAATAATGATATATTATTCAAATTTTAAAGCTTTGTACAAAGTATGAGCTTTTGAAAGAAAAAATTATACTGCATACATTTGATAAATGTAGTAAAAACAGTAATATTATAAAATATTATTACAATTTAAATATAATAATATAGTATAATAATATATTTTAATGTTTTATGTAAATTATAACAAATATTTCAAATGTAATTTATTCCTGTGATGGCAAAGCTGAGTCTTCAGTGTCACATGATCCTTAAGAACTCATTCTAATATGCTGATTTGGTGCTAAAGAAACATTTCTTCTTATTATTATTATTATCAGTGTTGAAAACAGTTATGCTGCTTTTTCAGTAAACAATGTTGTAGTTTTTTTTTGTGCTGTCAATGTAATATATTTTTCTTGAATAAAAGTATTGATATTAAACTTACTAACCCCAAACTTAGGTAGTGTATATATTCGTCATGGAAGTTTTTCATGTACTATGGGTGTGAAATGTGACCTATAAACATGTTTTTGTGTGATTTGTCCTGTCGTTTTGGGATGTGTATAAATGTATGTTAGTGTTTACAGAGCTGTTAGTTTTAGCAAACAAGCTAAAAACAGAGAAGATCCTGAAGGCGAAGAAATTCACTGCTTTCAGTACTTGACATTTGTGTGTGTACTTTATGTGGAGTCGTCTGTGCACACTCACTTTTTGCCAGCTTTTGTGACTGTAACTCAGTTGAGGCTAAAAGACACAGGAAGTCACTACTGAAGAAGCTTTGTTCGTAGAGCTTCCTCTGTCCAGTGTCTGTTTGCACTTTCAGTATTATTGTATGTGTATATTTGGGTGCCAGTTTGTGTCTGCGGTGTGTTTGTGTAAGAGCTTTTGTGTAAGACCTGTACATCAT